TGGATCCACCGTGGTATGTTCCACGCATTCTTTGATCGATTAATCTATTATTTGGGCTTTTGGCAGTGCGACCACAATGATATCGTGTCTGCAGACCTTAGCTGTCTCAAGGACCGCTCCTCCGCTTTATGCCTGAAGAACACGGCCTGAAGAACCAATCTTGGCCTCTCGTCACACAAGGCCGGTATTCATGAAAACGTCGTACCAGAATCCCCAATCAATGAGGGTTCATGACTGGATTCCGCGGGACTCCGTCGAACCAACGATCGTATGCAAAGGGACTGAAATGACAGACGCCCGCTCGAGGACCCAACGACAGAACACCGGGTGTTCGAACCGCGGCATGACGAACACAGGACCAGGCTGTTCAGGCTGTTCACTTGAGACCCCTTAAGACTCACTTGAGACCACCACTTGAGACCCCCAGCCGATGAACGGCGGCCCAGCAGACCCACAGCAGGCCGCTGCATGTCCCAGCACCGCATCCTCGCCGCCCGGAAGCCGGGGCATGCCCGCAGCAGCCGGCGCTCTGCTTGGGACCGAGCGAGGGAGGGGAGAGACCGGCCAGGAGGACAGGGGCGAGGGGCGCCGAGCAGGGCAGCGCCTCGGCGCCGTGCCAGCCATCATCTTGCCGCCAGCGATGCATCAGCGGCGCTATGATTTCGTAATGAGCAGGACGAAAATCGATTTCGGGGGGACGGCTACCGCTAGCCGGCACGACAGGGGGAGCGATTTGGAGGGGAGGGGCGGGGGGGGGGGCAGCAAAGGGGACGCCCGCGGCGCTCGCGAGGGGAGACTGGCCAGCGCCGGAGGGCAGATCGCGAGTGTGGACAGCAAGCCGCGGGCCTGCGTGTGTTTTCCAAGCGGGGCAAACTAAAGAAACAGTACGATCAGCAACGCGTCGCCGTCAAGCGTGTCGCCACCACCGCTGCTGTAGGCATAGACGTCGTTGTCCCGCGAAGCTGGAGCAACAAGCGCTGACACGGCCACGTTAGCGCCTGTCTCTGATGTCATACCAGCTATGAAACATCACCTGACGGATTAAACTATACGCATCCAGACAGGCGCAACCCGTTGCTGCAGCAAGTGAACGAGACAAGATCGTGCCGAGTCTCATCGTTGGACGATTGGTGTCTGAATCACAGCGATGGTCTTCAGTGGTGCTGCCTTGAATGTCTCTATCGCCCGGTCCGCCCGATCCAGCGTGGTCCAGGCCGGTCCCCGGGCCAGACCGGTCCGGTCTGGCGCAGTTCAGTCTGGCGAAGCTGGTCTGAGTTGCGGTCTGGGGTCGCACCGTTCAGTCCGATGCCCAACCATGTACAAGGCCTGGTCACTCTGGTTTGTGTAGTGGTCCCGTCTCGTGTGGTCCTATCAAAGCAACGCTGCCAGCCTGGCGTGGCCCCACCTAGTGCAGTCAGCTGTGGCGAAGTCTACCACGGCGCAGTGCGGTCCGGTTTAGTCGCGTCTGGCCCGGTGCGGTCCGTGACACAGACCACCCGCTCCCCGTGACGTCATCAGAGCGGCGGCCGTCTCTCCGGCTGACATTAGTCCAATTGGACACAAATCCGGCCGGGCCGCCGCGTCACGAACGCGCGTCTGACAACTGACGCCGGTGGCGGCGGCGGCGGCACGGACTTGCCGTCTGGCGCGCGCCGCCACCAGCCCCGCCCGCCCGCCAGCCAGTACAGCACTGCACGCCCGGGCGGCCGGTCGCGCCGACTGTCGGTCATACCAGGCCCTGTCCCGTCAATGGGCGTCCGTCCCCCTCGCCGGCGACAGCCCGGTGCGGCGGCATCTCCGCCGGAGCGACAGCCCCAGCGGCCGCGAGGGTGCGGGAGACGTCCCCCGCCACCAGCCCCCCGCCGGGATCAGTCTCTCGGATTACGCGGCGGCGCTGACATTGTGACGGCGCTGCCGCGGCGATCGCCGGCGCGCCGAACAATGACGAGCGCTTGCTGACGGACGCCGCGGCCCGCCGGGGCGCGCGGCTGATGAGCGCGGCGGTCGGGTTACGCGGCGACATCCGAGCCGCCTCCGCGGCGGCAGGGGCCGGCGCCCGGTCCGGAGGCGCCGACAGGGCCGGCCAGCGGCGCCGACGCGCTCCGGCGGCGGCGCGCCCGGCCGCGCCTCCACGCTCGCCGCGCCTCCAATTGGCCGCCGGTTCGCGGCGTGCTCGACCGGCCGCGCGGGCGCCGCCACAAAGGCTGCGGTCATTCGCCGCCATCGAACGGGGGTTCGCGTCCGTGACCCGCCGCCGGTGCGCCCCCCCCCCCCCTCCCCCGGGGGTGTTTACCCAGCCGCCGGCGGCAGCGTCCGTCCCCGGGTGGGGAGGCGCCCCCGGGCGCGGCAGGGGCGCCGGGGCCGGACGGGGCGTCGCCGCGGCGTCGCTATGCAGCTCTGCCGGCACGACGGCCGGGCGGCGGCGGCGGCGGCGGCGGCGGCGGCGAGCGGCAGTGGCAGCGGCGGCGATCAATACCACAAAGTGCCGCCGGCCGGCGCCGGCCGCAGTGCAATGGTCTGCGCCGCCACCGTCCTCAGGCCGCAGGTCAGGGGTCACCAGACGCCGTCGCAGGCGGGGCACCGGATGGGGGCTGTAAGTGGAGAGCGAGGGGGGCAAGGCACGGAAACATCCGGGCGTGTGATAACGGTCAGCGCACGAAGACGGCAGGGAGAGGCGAGAGAGGAGGAACGAGGCGGAGCGAAGTTCCGGCACGGCGAGAGAATAGTGTGAGAACGAACGCCAGGAGTACCACGTGAAATATATGATGCAGAAAGAACAGTTTCACATTCCCCTAATAATCTCGTATACGCTCACGCGGTACTTTCCTCGGTTGTGATTATAGACAAGAGACAGCTGCATCACATATGGGTCCTACACCCCTACCATCCAATTCCAAAGCTATGAATAATAATCGCCCACAAGTTATGCCATTCCAGCTGATACTGCTGACTCTCGATGGAAGTGACGCAGTGATGGATACTCAACATGTGTCTGCGTGTATGTACCTTCCGCTGCACCCTGCTGCGTGAAATGGAAGGCACATACCATGGTGCGGCCAGCCACTAAAATGTGCTAGCACTGTTGCTCAAGCTATATATAGCTTGTCCCGCAGCGAGTATCTACAACGCAGTATCCTACATGAAAGCGGCAAACACATGCCAATAGCATTCAGCCCGGACATAGCTAATCATCAACGCAAATAAACATCCGACCCCAACATAAACACCGCAGCCATTAATGCTCGTCATCGCCGCCGATTCGCAGCACCCTCAAACGCTAACCCCATGACGTGGCGTCTGTGTTTACCCCCTCAATCACGGGCGAATCAGACCCGCGCGTCTCGGCCCTCTCCCCGTCCCCGTCCAGCTCAGGTGACACCTGAGCGCCTCCCCCCCCCCCCCCCCCGGCTGCAGCAGCTGAGCTGGCGGCGCCGACGCAGCCGGCCGCGGCGGCGCCCAGCCAGCCGGCCCGTACGATCCATAAAACGAAGCGGTCGGAACGGACGACGGCGGCGGCGCTGAAGCGAGGCACGACCGCGCAGCCAGCGGCGCGACAGAGCCGCTCGCGGCAGAGGCGCGACAGAACTGCCCACAGAACCGCTCGCGGCAGGGGCGCGACGGAACTGCTCCCGGCAGAGGCGCACTCGGTCCGCGAAGGACAGGAGGCGGGGGGGGGGGGGGGCAGGAGTACGCAGGCGGAGTAGGGGTCGGCCAGGGATTTGAGTGGCGGGCAAACGCCTACGGCATCATCAGCATCTGGTCCCGACAGTGGACCCATTGTAGGTGAGCTTCGGTTTGTCAATTTCAAGTCTATCCTCAATGAATCCACTAGCGTATCCACCATCGGGTACCGGTGTATCGACCAGTGCGGCGACCAGAGCGTCCACCAGTCGGTCCATCAGAGGTTCATTGGTGGACCCGCCGGCGGAGGGAAGAGTTGGTTCACAAGAGGATCCGCCAGCAACTTCAACACCAGAGGGTACAAAAGTGGGTCTGTGGGCGGGTCCCCCAGTCGGTTCATCAGTGGATTCACCAGTGGGTCCCCCAGTGGGCCCATCTTTGGGTTAACTGGTGGGTCCAAAGGTGGGTCTACGCGTGGATCTGCCAGTGGGTCCACCAGTTGGTCAGTCAACCAGTGGGTCCACGAATGGGTTGATCAGCGGGTAAAGCAGAAGATGCAAAATGTGCCCGCCGGTAGGTCCACTTGTTGGTTCAATGTTGGAACCCCTAGTTGGTTCGATATTGGGACCACCAGTTGGTTCGATGTTGGGACCACTGGTCGGTTCGATGTTGGGACTGCTGGTCGGTTCGATGTTGGGACCACTGGTCGGTTCGATGTTGGGACCCCCAGTTGGTTCGATGTTGGGACCACTAGTTGGTTCGATATTGGGACCACCAGTTGGTTCGATGTTGGGACCACTGGTCGGTTCGATGTTGGGACTGCTGGTCGGTTCGATGTTGGGACCACTGGTCGGTTCGATGTTGGGACCCCCAGTTGGTTCGATGTTGGAACCACCAGTTGGTTCGATGTTGGGACCACCAGTTGGTTCAATGCTGGGACCATCAGTTGGTTCGATATTGGGATCACTAGTTGGTTCGATGTTGGGATCACTAGTTGGTTCGATGTTGGGAACACCGGTTGGTTCGATGTTGGGACCACTGGCTGGTTCGCCGGTCTGCTCTCTGTGTGACCAAGCGCGTTATCCGACATTCTGAACATTCCCGATGTTTGATCTGCTATCATCAGCGTCTCCCCGATATGCGATGCCGATGTGACGTCAACGGGTTTTCAGAAAACTATCAAAACATTCTCAGAACGCCATCGACGCCTCATGGCTGCAATCAACTGACTAAGGCTAAGTGCGATTCTGCAGCACAGTTCCTGTTCTCTCGCAGCCAAACAGCTGATAAGCCGGCCGTTGTGCGGAGGCGGCCGGGGAAACGCTATCGGCCATTGACCGGAGGGTACGGCCGGGTCTCTCTCTCTCTCTCTCTCTCACCAGTGCAGATGGTTCTCAATCATGGAGATCATGGCGTGGCTGAGATTCTTCTGCTCGGCCGTCAGCGGGGCGTCCAGGTCCTTCTCAAACTTGGTTGACAGCTCCTTGATGATGAAGGACGAGTCGGAAATCTCCTCGCCGTTCATCTCGACGAACGGCAGCTGGCCCTTCTTGGAGCGCAGCTTCATACGGTGGTCCACATTCTGTAAACAAGGTCTCACTTAATCCTTCGTTCCATTCAGTCTCGGTACAGCTGCACCTTGTCCTCGCGCCGTACCCTGTCTCCCATGTCTCGCTCAGTCTCAGTGTCCCGCTCAGGCTCAGTGTCTCACTTAGTCTCCGCGATATGCCCCCATCCCTGTGCGCTCCGGTACCACCCTAAGTATCAGCCAAGTATTCCTCAGCCCGCATCTCAGCATCCTTACATCAGTCCAAGTCGGTCTCCATTCGTCATCAATACCAGCCGAGTCTCCTTCAATCTCACTTAAACATATGCAGAGAACGCGGCTGGGAATAGCTTTCCTCAATGGGAACGCGCAGCGCGGGGCAGCTTGGAGCCGCTGAAATATTGCTTTGCTGAGAATAGCACGGTGAGAAAATGCAGAAGCCTCAATCATCGCGCCCTGATGCTGCTATGCTGGGATACACTGGTCATTCACCAGTAATGGACCCGACCCGGGCTCAAAGGCCGGGCGATCGTGCCTGAGCGGCGGCACTTCCTTCCCAGGCGTTTGATATGAGGCGAACGACGTGAACTGTCCAGGCACTTGGGGTCCTATGAACCGGCAGCGGCGCACAGTTCATCTGGGATCATAATGCATGGCCGCAGGGGTGGGCCCAGGATTTTGTCAAAGGAGAGGTCACGGTTCACTGTGGTGCCCTGGAGCTTGGCGCTACCTCCCCCCCTCACAGCGAAGTCCCCGAGTTCCGCACCTTTTTCAAATTCCTATTTTTAAATCCATAAAATAAGTTTCGGTGGCACGGTGAGCCGAACATGCCCCCATTTATTTCCAGAGGATTTTTTCTTTTAGTTTTTACGTTGAACTTATATTTGGAGTCGTTTGGGATGCCCATGAACTAAGTCCGGTTTAAAAATAACGTTATGTGGGCACGAAATGATAATTTTGGTGCCCTTTACCACAAAATGCTAGTGCCCCTTCGGCCAAAGGGCCATCCCCCAGGCCCTCCCCCCCCTCCGGGTCCGTCGCTGCAAAACCGCCCTTTCATAGGCACGTTGTTGTCACTTGTGCCTTGCAGCACGCTCAGCAGCTAAGGTCATATGGCGTCGCCTGCTTCTCAACCGGCACAAAGAGGCATTGAAGAGAATCGAACCAAGCACCTTTGGTTTCTCAGACGCGTAGCATAATCAACGCGTTACCGAAACCCTTAGATATAGTGTTGACTTTAATGGAAAGCGCGCGCACACGTGACAGTGGCATTGGGTACTTATGAGCCGACTTGCAGGGTAATTCACTACGGATTCTATTGTACTTTTAATCATGACTAGGTACTAATTTTTCCAGTGCACCAGGCGCTTTTACTTAGTTCCTGACAGCCTACTGCCATTGATGTTAGATGTCCATATATTGGCCCAAGAGAGACCATTCCCATCCCTTTGATCTACACAACCAGTGGTTGCGTCTACACAACCAGAGCATCAAAATTCACGAACTGTCCCAAATCACGCGCATTAACTTCGCGATACTGACGGGCCCGTGGGATCGGAGCAAAAGACTGACACAGATGCCCGCATGCTATACGCATTTTCACCGCGCCATCCGCTACAAAACAACAAGCTGGCACTCCAGTTCCCACAGTCGACGCTGACAGTGCCTCATCAATAGCCAGTTCCCATGCCAGAGTCGGCTAACGGCCGCGCTCGGCCCCAGCTCCGAGAGACCTGCGCCAAGAGCGCGGCCGGCACGCATGTGAAGCAGCTCCCGGTGGGCAACCTGCCGCTGACGTCATCTACTGCCATGCGCTCGAATCTGGAGGGCTCTCCCAGCTCCGGAGATGGCCGTATGGGCCCACCGAGCAGGCGGCTGAAGTGGCGGTGTGAACCAACGGCGGCGGCGGCGGCGGCGGCGGCGGCGGCGGCGCCGCTGCAGCGCAGCACTCTCAGCCGAGGCCAGAGACAGGGCTGTCCGATCGGGACTCAGTGTCGCGAACGAGGAGGACTCGTGTTTTGGGCCACGGTAATCGCCGACGCCGACGGTGTTCGCCAGTGCCGCGACGTTAACGTTCACCCACACCGATATCTAACAAACAAGTGACTCGCGAATAACACGAGAACCACGTGGCGTTTATTACAGCAGAATGATACACAAAGGAGCAAACTCCTTGGTGCGTAATTACGACAGATTAGCATTGCAAAACACTGGGATGCACGTCGGCTTCAAATCCAGGCTATTCTGCAAACGTCGGCCGAGCGTGAACGCGCGAACACAGTGCCGCCGGCGTCGACACCCCCGTCCCGCGGGCGGTCCCGTCGACACCCCTGCCCCGCGGGCGGTCCCGCCGACACCCCCGCCCGGTGGACGGTCCCGCAGATACCCCTGCGCCCCGGGTCGTCCCGCCGACACCCCTGCCCCGCGGGCGGTCCCGTCGACACCCCTGCCCCGCGGGCGGTCCCGTCGACACCCCTGCCCCGCGGGCGGTCCCGTCGACACCCCTGCCCCGCGGGCGGTCCCGCCGACACCCCTGCCCGGTGGACGGTCCCGCAGATACCCCTGCGCCCCGGGTCGTCCCGCCGACACCCCTGCCCCCCCCCCCCCCCCGCCCGGACCGTCCCGTCGACACCCCTGCCGCAAGGACGGTCCCGCCGACACCCCTAACGTGCGGACGGTCCCGCTGACACCCCTGCCCCGCGGACGGTCCCGCCGACACCCCTGCCGCAAGGACGGTCCCGCAGACATCCCGCGTCGAGCGCGCCACGCCTCTTCGTAAACTACTGACGCTGGGACAGCGTCACGAATCACCGCCATGAACAAAGGCACCAGGCAAGGTCGCAGACAGGGCCTGAAGAGGGCGGCGCTGGTTCCCAGCACCCGGTAACGTCCCAGAGCGCCCGGCGACGGAGACCAGCGGCCAGCGCCCCCGCCTGGATCGGCCGACCGTGCGCCCCCCTCCCCTCCTCCCCCCCCCCCCCCCCCGCCTGGATCGGCCGACCGTGCCGCGGTTTGTGCCCGCGGGCGCCAAAACCACGCACGGATGGGCCGCAACCCGACATTACCGACCGTGATGACGGGGGCAGCATGTGTGACTACCGCTTCCCGCTGTTGCACGCGACCCCGCTCCCGGCCACACGCGTGCGAACGCGCGAACCGGCCCCACCCCGACATTCCACGGCGGGGAGGGTCGGGACAAGGGACGGCACAGCATCCAATTAACGCCATGGTGGGGCAGGGCCACTGGCAGGGGATGACCCCGTTTCTCCGTCCCGCGCGGGAGAGATGGGAAAGGGAACGAGCGGTTGCCGATAAGGCACGCCTCCTGTCGCAGCGATACCAGTCCGCTGTGTCAGTTGTGAGCTTGTGTCCCACATCGTGGTCTGGGTGTTCCTAGCTTACCGACCGAAGGTCCGCGACAAATGCAGGGCGGGATCCCTCGAGGCTGCCCGGAGACCCAAGCAACAGTCAACGAACGACCGCACCAACGGGCTGCTGGCCATGCTCGTGTAGGATGAGAGACAAAGTTTGCTAAAATACATTTCCGATCGTAGCAAAGCGCGGCTCGGCTTGCTCGACGCACTGGTTCGTTTGTTGACTCCCTCGAGTTCTCGCCTCGGACGTGATATGTGCAGCCGTCTCATCCCAAACATGCGTAAGAAGCGCGTAAGGGCACGCCGCAGCGCCGCCTGTCCGTGGGCAGTAGCATGCCATGGCGGGCCTGCCGACCACCGCTGGTAATTAGCGCTGCTGATCGACATAAATCAGCGACGCAGCGGTGGCGCGGTGGAACCGCTGCAGAGGCGCATCGCGGTGCAGAGGGCACAAAAACGGCGCACAGACCGCCGACGCCGGTGCAGATTGTGTCAGTGCGCTCAGCAAAAAACACGGCAGCGGACGCCAGCCACCAAACAAACGGCAGACCGTTTTTGCGGGTCCTCTGCGTCGGGCGCGGACCCCAATTGGGTCGTGTACCGCGAGACTAGCTGGTGCACCGCGGCTCCGAAACAGAAACAGCTGACAGAGCCGGCACAGTCGAAGTGCAAGACGGGCGGTCTCCGGTTACAGACAGGATTTACGTAAAAGCACAAAGGCGCCCTCATCGCAGCAAGACACGAATATTAAACAGACATTGAGCCAAGGCCTGCTTTGCACACGACCTTCGCAAAAGTGGCCCTAATACTAGCTTTCCACGTAATACAACATCCAGCCCGCTGTTTATGATGGGTCGTGCTCGATTTCGCCCATTGTCCGGCACGCAAGCGGCTGAGCCACACCAGCAAATCAAACAGCATGCAAAGCCCGGTGCAAACACCAATCAGAGGACGCCGCCGCCCGACGGCCGTTTTTTGCCGCGTCATTCCGCCGCGCACGGTCCCCTCTCCCTTTCGCGGCACCCCACCCCTGTCCCCTACCCACGGGCAGCAGGGGCGGGCTCAGCGACACAGTTTGGGGGAGGAGCCGATTATCTGAGCCAACTCTCGCATTGTCCGTGTCCGCAAAGTGCACGTTTCACGTCGTGCTTTACCCAAATGCCCGGCCTTTCCAGGCGTCCGGTCGTGACAGCCGCTGCACGCGCTCCTGCACGCTGTTCTGCGCCGGCGGTGCCAGCGGTGCCCGCGGCGCCGGCCGCCGGTGCCGGGCCGTTTGCGCGGGCCGGGCGCCCCCGTAATTGGGCCGGCGACCGGCCGGCCGGCCGCCGCCGCCGCCGCCGCCGCCGCGGTCGGCTGGGAAGGGAAGTCGTCACGGGTTCGTGTTCACCGCTCCCACCAGCCCTAATCGTCGCCAGTCGGGTCCGCTCCTGCCCGCGCAGCCGACCCCAGAGGCGGCGGCGGGGGGCGACGGAGGGGGGGAGGGAAGCAGGTGCGGACCGCCAGTCCCTGGTAGCGCGGAGCGGGGGGAGGGGACGCGGCGTCAATGCGCGCGCGGGACGCACGACGGCTCCGTGACGCGCCGCTTTGGGGAGGCGGCGCCGCTTTCAGAGCGGACGCGCGCCGACAGGAGCGGGCGGGCCAATTTGTCCGCTGGCCGCTGAA